AGAACTTTCACTACACCATATTGCCCGACACTGTTAAGACCCTCAATACAGGGCGAAACAGTCTGTCGGTATTTGAAGTAGGTGGAACACATGATACAAAGATGTATCATGGGTGGAACACGCTCAAAACAAAAACTCTGGGCGAGGTGAAGGTTCAATTCTTTCTATTTATATATAATAATATATTATTTCCATAATTTTGTTTTGGATACCAACCTTTAAAGAATTTTACATTTTCAGAATGTTAATTTAACATTTTATTGGTGTTAAGTGAATATGCTAAAAAGGTTAGCTGGACATTTCAAGAAATTTACCTTAACACCCTAAGAATGTTAAATTAACCACACTGAAAGAAATATATGTTTGTTTTAGCAATGTTTGTGGTTCATATATGGACTACCACATACATTGCTAAAACAAACATATATTATATTTAGTTTTAACATAATATGTTAAAACTAAATATAAAAATGGTTAAGGTAAATATATTATATGTTTGTTTTAGCAATGTATGTGGTAGTCCATATATGAAACATAAATTTCTTTCAGTGCAAATTAGCAGATTAGAACAAATATTCTTATTTTGTTCATTTGACTGTTATTTGTTGTTCAATTAAACAATACAATTTGACATTTTTAGATGGTTAAGTAAACGTGCAAAAACCATTGCTTGTATTTAAAGTGCATAAAGAGTTGAATTAATATTTTTGTTGTTGTTTCAACAGCTTATTTTTTTCAGTGTAGTGCAGCCTAGTGTAAAGTTTTTTTACTGTGTAGAAAACCATACTAATTTACTTTAAAAACGAAATTATTGTAGTGACCAAATAAATCAAACCAAATATCCTTAGATAATTAGGTGTTCATAATCCGGTGTTGCCGGATCTTCTAGACGATAATAACAGATTGATAATTTTGGTTGCACACAGTCAACATTATGGTGTATTATTACAAAACTGTGCGTTTGCACTTATACTTGTAGAAGTGGCATATAATTTTTTTTTAACATTCACAACACAGTTTTGCAATAATAAACGATAACATCCCCTTAGCAACTTTAATAATTTTTCTAATCTTTCTAAAAACTTAAATATGTAAATATCTTTTAAGTAGACTTTAGTACAGCCTAGAATTTTTTTCTTTCATTGTTAATCTTGTTTTATAGCCAACTGACAAATTTTGTCTCCTTCCTAATTTGAATTCAATTTACACCCTATTACAAAACGTTATTTATGCCTTAGTTTTGCGTTGAAAACTCAATTTAATTCCTCTGTAAACCAATCATCTTCCAGCCCACTTAACTTAAATTTCGTTCTCCAACCATCAAACACTTGGCGTGCCACGGAATCATCCCCGTGCAAGTAGGTATAACGCGATTGTACTATTTCTTATGTTCAGGTCAGGTGGGTTACGCTGCGTTTGTTTTATTTTACACACCAACTTGTGGCTTCGAGGTTATTTACAACTTCCAGGTCGAAAGGAAACTCGCGGCGGAACAGCGAAAAATCTTCAGAGCGGGCGTCTGTAATGAAATAAGAAAGAAAAGGGAGCGAGAAAAGCGATTAACATTTTTATATGCTTTAGCTGGGGGGAATTGCTTTATTAGGTCTTAGTGCTTGGGCTTCATTTTTTAAAACCACGACGAAGTGTGTGAGGTGTTTTGTGTCTGATTAATATGCTGATGCAATTAGGACTGTGTAGATTGTGTTACACAAGCTTAATGATGTATTATGCATTGTGGTTGTAGCCACAATTTATTGATTGTTTAATAAATTACTTCTACAATTAATTTACTGTAGCTGGCTACTAATTATTTTGTATTCAATGAAGTCTAATAAAAAAATATATTAATATGTAAATGCTTTAATTATGTATAAATATAATTAATATCCCTCTTTTATTACATTTTAAATATTGTATTACTAATATTTGCTGTTGTTTCACGTTATAAAATTAATTTTTATTAAAGGTTCATGCAGAATGCAATCTAATTACACGATGTTTTATGTTAATTAATTCAGGTAAAGGATAATATTAATTAGATTTTTCTTTTGAAGCACGCCATGGCTGTTTTAATTTTACTTGTTGAGTTTTACATAAAAGTTTTAATATTTCACAATAATTCTTTAAAAATGTTATACTTGGTGCCCGAACAGGCGCACAAATTTAATAAAAAGCAATTATTGCCATGGAAAAATAATTTACTATACTAATTAAGACCTTTAGACACAGTAAAAATATTTGTATTGTATTATTTTCAAAAAATAAGACGTAATTAGCATTAAATTAAAAAACAACCTTAATTTTTCGTCTGCATTTTATATTTAAATGTCGGTGGGATTTTTTATGTGGAACATGGTACATATTTTAATGTATAAACAAATTTTTATTATTTTATTATGTAAAAATTCAGTTTTTAACAAATAGACTGAGTTTGTTTTATTAAAAATGTAAGAAGAATGAAATGGTAAATAAACGGAAAAAATATATTTTTTTTTAGTGTAAGCATATATCCATGGATTTAAAAAATATAATTTTTTAATATAATACATACAATATACAATACAAAATATTATACATACCTACCATATGTCCGCTTATTACGAACCCCGTATAGCGAACTTTCGGTTAAAATGAACCAACTCGTATAGTATTAACGAACCAAAGTCCTATATAAAGTTTGTTAATTTTTCAGGAATGTTTAATTTAATTCATCGATTTATATTTTAACAAATAATTAAATTGGGGTTAACGTATTGTAACTGGTATTAAGAAAATAAATACCTATTGTAAAAATTTTGATTGGATTTTTTAAAATTTATTCTGAAAAACTTACTTAACTACTACCATGGGGTCCCTACTTACCCCACTGAAAAACTTTATATCTAATTTTTTTAAGGTTTAAAGAAAATATAAATGCAATTAACGAAACTTTTATTATAAAAACAACACATCACGTTGACCATTTTCAACTGGCTCATATAATTTAAATTTTTATACATCAATAAATGAAGTAGGTAGTCATTAGGTTCTAATAATATTCCCTTAAAATATTTTTTTAAATTTTAGTTTTATAATTTTTTGCCAAATTTAAAAGTTTTTTTATTAACAGGAACTCTCCTCCTGTCTCCTTCATGTTGCTGATGGACTTTTATATTTTAACAGAATAATGCCCCCTGCATTATCCATCACAATAACACTGTTATCTTCTAATTTTGGTAAAACATTCTTTATTCAAGTATTTTTTGAAATACCAGTTTCTTCGAATGTTAATTTTACACTAACATTTTTTAATTTTCCTTTATCGATATGTGTCTTTACTTTATTAAAAAGTATTATTCTTTGACCTCTTCCTATAAGTGGCTCAGATTTATTTATAGGACAAATGGTTGGTTTTCCACACTGTCCACATTGTTTCCATTGTCCATATTGTCTCTCAATATATTATGGGATTTAAATGTAATCGACTTACACATTATTAACAAAGGGTAATAAAGCCACCAGAACACAGAACAAACAATAAATTAACAAAATATAAACTTTCTATGATAACAGCTGATGCTACAGCCGCCATTTAAAACAAATTTAATGCTACGTTGCTAATGTGCGATGAATCAAACCTTCTGAAAAGAAATATTCTTTCTAAAATTAATATTTTTACAAATTGACAGCTAATATAATATAATATCATTATTTTAATAATATAAAAAGTCTTTCTGGTTTGTTGTATAATTATGCCAGTTTTAAAATTGGTTTTAAAATCAATGGCAAAGCTGTATAAAAAATATTTAGTGTTAGCCTATAGGTCCACTTAACACCTATTTATAAGGCAACTTTTTCAAATATCTTTTTAAAGATTGAAATCTCTTGGGATCTTGAAGCAAAGTTTATTAAGATGGACTCGCAGGGGTTGCAGTCACTTCATTGTCCCCATCTAAGGTCACGACGAAGAGAGCTGCACAGGTTAATTAATCTTAAAACTTCCAACACGCGCTGTGAACTTCACACTGTGAAGAGGTGGTTGATATTTTCCTGGGCGAAAGCCGTGATGTCGCTTGCTCTCTCCCCGCTTTCCAGCGTGGGGAATTTACGATGCCAGAAATAATTTATGTCAAATGTCTGCCGCACATAGGCGGTTAATGATTTTCGGGGCCGCCGACGCGTATACCACCCGACAAATTAACGCTTTTAAATATTCCGAACGCAAATACGAGCGACACAAAAAATACAACGTAGGTACATTAGTTTTGGCGGGGTTATTAACATTTCCGACGTTCGCCATTTTTTACTTAGGATGCCGTTAATATAAGTGCAAATTTTGTCATTATTTTCAACAACAATAAAAATAAGCGCGGAGCAATTTGTAAGGAATTTCATGGTCTGTGAGGACAGTACAGTGGTTGGTAAAATGTAAGTAATCATCTTTTAACTTTAAACTTTAAAATATCTCGGCGAAGCAAGATCGGGTGATCTTGCAGGCCAACTAACCGGACCAGCTCTACCAATTCAGCGACCATTAAAATTGAGATCAAGTACTTCACGTGCTAACACCGAATAGTGTGCTGGGCAACCATCATGGTAAAACCACATGTTCTTTCGTACTTCCAAGCTTAAGTCTTCAAGTAATGAGGGCAGTTTATTTTCCAAAATATCTAGATACATTTCGCTATTTAAGTTCCCTTCAATGATGTAGGGACCGATGATTTTGTTGCCAACCATCCACACTACACGTTGACAGTCCAAGGACGCTGATTTTCAACTTGACGAAGCCAACGCGGATTTTCAACACTCCAGTAAGGGGACATCCATTAATTACGTGAGATTAAAATAGGGGGGAGGGGTCTAGAAAAATCTCACCAAATCTCATGTTAAGGGAGGGGGGTCATTAAAAATCTCAGTCAACTTTTGGGTTCAAAGAATATGTATTATAATTCAAATTTCTCAAAAAAAAGTAATCAATTTTTATTTTTTGGGTTTATCATGTTGTCCGCAAAGAAAGTTTAATGGCTAGAATCTCACGTAAGGGATATGGGGGTCTACCACATCTCACCAAATCTCACCAAGGGGGAGGGAGGGGTCCAAATTATCAGAAAAATGCCTCACGTAATTAATGGATTTGCAGTTCCGTAGTTCGTAAAAGACGACTCGTCGGAGAATACAAAATGGAAAAAAAAAATTGGATTTTGTTGTATTTGTTCACGTGTCCACTGACAAAAATTTAAAAAATCGAAACTATGATGGATGGTATTTATTTCGTTTTAATATTCTGATAACTCTGCTTTTGGATATTCCGGAACTGCGAGATAATTCTGGTGAGTTTGCTAATACATTAATTTCATTTTTTTCACCGGTGACTGTTTCTCGACAAACTCTTTTTTTTTCGGTTAAAGATTTCCGTTTGTAGTAAACTGCTTTATCGTTAAAAGGAGGCACGCGATCGAATTTTTTCGGAAAACGCTGAGCGTAGATATTAACATCATCATCAAGATTTCTGCCTGCTTCTACATAAATCAAAAATCCATTATGAATTCCTAACTGCTCAACGAAAACAGGTATTTTTATTTGCAAATTGCAAAATTTATTTTAGTTGTTTCTAAAGGTCAAAGGCGTATTTACTGAGATATTTCAAAGTTTCAAGATACAAGTCTTACCCTGTATAATTCTATGTTTGGCAACCTAGCACAGCAATAAGTGTCGCTTTTAAGAGGATATTTTATGGATATGGTCACAATCCACACAACAAGGTCTGTTCGATCTCGTACTAAAAATACTAAAAATCACTGCAACACTGCACATTATTTAATGGCGGCCATTTTTGTTGTTTGCAATTCTTGTGCTTTGGGTTTGTACAGATTAATAATCGTTTTAAACGTTTTCTAATAGAGGCACTTGTAAGCCTTAAATGAGGCCTTAAAGTCATTTTACTCCTCTTTTGTAAAAAATAAACCTTATTCTATCAGGGCTGTCATCAAACTGTCAAATGTCAATTTTAAGGCTATTTTATAACCCACAAATTACCCTTCAAATTGACATTTGACAGCCCTGATGGAATAAGGTTTATTTTTTACAAAAGAGGAGTAAAATGATTGTTCTTGACACTCTGAGGTCTCTTTTAAGGTTTGCAAGTCTCTCTGTAAGAAACACTACGTTTAAAACGATTATTAATCTGTACAAACCCAAAGCACAAGAATTGTAAACCACAAAAATGGCTGCCATTAAATGATGTGCAGTGTTGCAGTGATTTTTAGTATTTTTAGTACGAGATCGAACAGACCTTGTTGTGTGGATTGTGGGTATGGTAAACTTGTGGGTTATGGTAAATTAACCTTGACAGTTTAATGACAGCCCTGATAAAATAAGTTTTTTTTACAAAAAAGGGGCTTCTGTAAGAAACATAACGTTTAAAACGATGAATAACCTGTATAAACAGCACAAACCCAAAGCACAAGAATTGTAAACAACACTAAAATGACCGCTGTTAAAGACCTTGATGTGTGGATTGTGTTAAAAATATTAAATTTGACTAATAATGTATTAAAATTTGTTATGCAAACTTAACAAGTAATAAAAATGTTACTTCGTGCTTTGCGTAAAAGGAAAATATAATTAATATTTTCCCACATGTACCTTTTTATTAATTAACATAAAAACCCGTGTAATTATATAGCATACTGCATGAAAGGTTTTTTCCTTTAAATAAATATTAACTTTATGTCGTGACACATCAGCAAATATTAATGAAAACTTGAACCAGGTACAAATCAAATATTTAAAATATTATTCCAACCTATTTAAATATTAAAATAAAGTACATTAATTAAGCACGAGCAGAGCTTTGATATAAACAAGGATTGACGACGAAAACAAAAGCAATTTTATTTGTTAAACATTTGACAACTGTCAGGCGTATTTATCCCCACTTGTTACGCACCACAGGTTATATTCAAAAAAACAACAAACAACATTATTAAAAAGTGGCATATTCGTTACTTTTACTTAGAGGTTATTTATTTTACGTCAGACTTGACAGAAGAAATCTATGAAGAAAACCTAAACAAATATTAACATTACATTGACACACACATGCTAGATTACTTGCATTTTTAAGCATTCTCCAAACACAATCTACATATCACAATGCTCAGTAAGTACTACTTACTAAAGATCATCTTAAAGGTGGTGTGCGACTTCTAGGACACCTTGTATAAAATTCAGTATAAATCCACCGGGTATAGCATTGCAAGATAAATAACTCATTTTAGACCAATAAAAAACTTAATTTGATGAAGTTAATTTGATGCTGGGAAATTTACATTTTAATCTAAACACGTTGTCTGCGGCACAAAATTAACCAACTTTTATGACAATAAAATCCAAGCCACACTGTATTCGTTAAAACGAAAAATTTTTCATTCTCCTTTTTAATACAACTACCGGATTTAGTTTTCTTCCATTGGTAGAATATTATTACCAACCAAAATTATCCACATCATTATACCAAACATGACTTTATTTTATTGAGTTTGTAAAAAAAACTATTTTTTTTTCAGCTGTTTTTTGTACAATCGACCGCTTGGAGTTGGTGATGCCTAGATATGCCGTCAGAGGCGGCGACGTCAGTTTAAAATGCGAGCACAGCGTTCCATTGGAGCAACTGTACAAAGTCGAATGGAGGAAGGGAGAAAATAAAATCTTTCAGTACATTAAAGGCAGAAAACCTCCTTTCAGATACTTTCCCACACAAGGAGCGGTTCTCAATGTAAGTGGTTAAATAGATTTTCAGCTTTACAGAATCACTAGTTTTTTTATTCAATTTTAAATATATATATATATATATATATATATACAAGGTGTAACTAAACTTGATGGAATAAATTTAAAAAAAAATTGATTAAGTCAAAATAAGACGAAAACCCAAATTAATATTTTTCCAAGATACAGAGTGATAAGTGTTACTTATTATATCAGTTTTTTTAATATACGATATAACTTCTACTATGGTGATATTTTGAGAACATTAATTCACTACCAATACACATAATTACAATGGTTTGAGTGAACACAGTGTCGTAGAAACGGGGGTTGCTTACTGTCCCATAAAAAGTTTAGGTTTTTCCCAATTATATTTTAAAAACACTGACTTAGTGGGGATAACTTTATCCACGTTAAATTTGCAGATGTCCCATCTTCGCCTTATATAAATTCTTACAATTAAGCTTATAAAAAACATACGTCTCCTTGTGCCTCAAGACCCTATATGTAGGCCTAATAACAAGCAAGATAATCTAAATTTGGCCACAGAAAAGGACCAAAGATTAATACATCTAAGAACTTAAGTTGAGCTTATCTTAATCCTTAAATGGTCCACAGGGGACGCGCGAAGGAAATAATTTGGTCCTTGGACCAGTCTCCCTCCAAATTAAATTTAGTTTACCAAGATAAATTATTGTTTAAGATTATTAAACTATCGAGGTAAAATTTCACTTAATTTTAAATGTTAAAGAATATTTCACGCCTTAAGGAGACTCGGGCATGATATTAGTCGATATAAGAAGGGCAATGCTGTTTTGCTTCTTATTTATGCATTCCACTGATCCAAGCATACCCTAAATAAATCTTCTCCCCTGTTTATTGTTAATGTTACAAATAGGGGCAAGCGTGATGCATATTAATAGAAACAAACAGTCCTTTGAGCTGATGGTAACCCTTTGGCAGAACCTATGTATAAAACAAGTTATAAATTATTCATTGCCTAACTTGATAATTTGTGCTATATACAGTGACCTGCAAAAGTATAAAACATTTTTCTCCAAAAAATTCCTTGAATGACGTCTATTTTCCTTTTTAATTCTTTACATTTTGATGTACAATTTTCATATTTGCCGTTATTTTTGTAGAAGCTATGGCCACAGTAATCAATTAAATGTTCGAATTTTTCTCCATTGGTTTCTTTACAGTAAGCAAGCCTATCCGAAAATTCTCACAAAACGTTTTTGATGACTTCAGCACTAATAAAGCGACATTTTTCACGAATTTGATTTTTCAAGTCGTCTAAATATTGTGGTCCTTTGATTTAAGGTAGCCCCATAAGAAATAATCGAGAGGGGTGAGATCTGGAGATCTCGCTGGCCACTCTATCGGTCCTCGTCTGCCAATCCACCTCCAGAAAATTACTGACAGGACGTGCATAATGCGGAGGTGCCCCGTCCTGTTGAAACCAAATGGTATCACTTGGTAGATCGAGATCTCTATTCTCATTGGGAAATATTTCTGCTAATGTGGGAAGAAGAGAGTTTTGCAAAACTTTCAAATACATACGTCCGATTTTCCAGACATTCACTTTTTGCCGGTTTTGGGAATTTGCCTCTACTACCCAATGGCGATTTTCTCTTTTCCAGTACCTACAATTTTTACGGTTGACTGTACCATTCAAACAGAAGGTAGCTTCGTCCCAAAAAAGTATTTTACGTGGAAGGTGTGGATTATTGTTGCATAAATTCATCATAGTTTCACAAAATTGTAGTCTACGGTCCGGATCATCTTTGTTAAGTTCCTGCACTAGTCTCATTTTGTATGGGTGGTACTTTTCTTTCTTTATAAGACGTTATACAAAGCGTTGGCTGAAGCACTGTGAGGATCTTCTCCTACACATAACAAAATGTTAATTTTAGTGTCTTCACTAATACTCGGACGGTCAGGTTTTGAAATATGTTTGACACGTCAAGTCTAAATTTCCGTTCAATTTTACTAACCGTAGCACGAGTAATAGGTCGAGCTGGATACTTTGCATTAAATAAATTGCAAACATCTTGTTGTGTTATAGTTTTATTGCCACATCCTAGGGGAATTAAAACTTCAATTTTCTGTTTTTTCCGTTAAATGGGCCATATTTAAATACTTCAAAATATTTGGAGAATTCATTAGAGACACTGAACGCTCAACTAAAAGTTTTTACATCTAGTAGTTAATATTTGTTTTAAATTATATGCCAACAAAGAAATATAAAATAAAAAACTTCCATATATCGACACTTGCTATTTGTAAAATAACAAAAACCAATAATAAACTGAAAAAGTTTGACCTTGAAATAAAATATGCTTTTTCGCCCAACACAGCATGGATTCCTGAGAGGTAGATCAATTGAAACTGTAGTTTTTGATTTTCTACAAAAAAATAGTCAATAATTATGAACACAAAATTTTATCACTTGGTATGTTTTTGGACCTCTCAAAAGCCTATGACACACTGAATTATGAAATTTTAATAAACAAGCTGGAAAATTATCCACTGCAGTGGATAAGATCATATCTCTCAGGAAGAAGTCAAAAAGTTGTGGTGGAAAATAATGGACAAGTGAGTAATGTTTAGTTTTAGAGTCTTGTGAAATTATGTCAATTTAAGTATAAAGCCTGGTTCATATAGATGCGACATTCGAATTTGCGAAATGCGAAAATGTTTTCATTGGTCCATTTGATTTGGCGGGAAAAGTGTTTCGACGTTTCGACAGATTCTGCGAATTCGCAAGATTTGAAATCTGGGGGGCGGGAATCTTGAGATTGATCCAGTATTTTGCGAAAATCGCACGAATTTGGCGTGATGCGCATGCGCATTAATGCAGATGCCTATTATACGTATTTGTTATATGGACCCGCGCCATTTTTGTTTATGTTCTGTGTTTATTTCATTTGTATTGCTTCGTTGATGAGTTTTATTTGAAATGTCTCTTGCTAAAGTTGTTTTTTGTTCTTTATAATGGACAAAGAGTTTTTGGAGATACATTAGTTTCTTATTTTACCTTATAGTAGCATATTTTTTTAGAAGTGACTTTACTATTTAAGTACCTACCTATAGAAAATGTTAACCAAGTATGGCAAATATCACCTGGAGAGAAAATAATGTCCCTAAAATACCATGGCAAATATCGCCTACACGGAAAAAACAAAATACTTGGATTAAACAGCTTATGCTCAATTTGAGCTTAAGTTAGCTTTGTATATACTCAAGACTATATCACCTTAAAATGAGAATAGCAAATTCTTAAATATATCAGGTTAAACGAAGCATTTGTCTATTTATTTAAAGAAAATTAAAGTGCTTCTTTTGAGTAAATACCATTTTGTAATAAAAATTCGCTAATTTTAAAGTAAGCTTACATCGTTTTATCTCAAACATGTAAATTTAATTATACAGACTTATACTAAGCATATGTCAATTTAGTTTAACAAAACAGGAATGCTTCTTTTGAGTAAATACAGTTTTTTATCAAAGGCGCCGTCATTTTAGATTAAGCATATATCGCTTTATCTTAAATGTGCAACATTTAATATAGCAGCTTGGACGGAGTATACGTCGATTAATTTTGACAATAGCTATTCTTTATTTTAATATATAAAACATTGCATTTAGAATGCAGTCAGCTTAAATTGAGTATATTATTGCTTTGATTTAAATTGGAAAATTTTTAGATTAAAATGTGTCTTGTTAATAAGGAGAATTCGAGAGGCTTCTTTTGAAAATAAAACATTTTAATTTGAAAATATGTTAGAATCATTTTAAGAATTGCTTTGAAATTGCATATTCTTGAATTAAGATTTTCTATATCCTTGGATTTATTTTACCTGTTCGAATGTGTCGATAAATCTGATCTACGTAGTTGGCAAAACACGACGGCTTTGTAAGTCATTATGCACGATGAGTTTTAAAAGTTGGGCAATCGCAGAAGTACGTTAATAAAGCGTTATCACACGTATATTGTACAAATTTTTATCTACGCCTCTAAATGAAAAAATAAACGGTAATTATTTTTGTCTAAGACTTAATTTAGGGTTATTTTGACATTTTGACTTTTTTATTTGATTGGTTGAAAAGCAGAGAAAAACGGGTGCGTTAATGAACTTCTTATCCTACTCAAAATGAGTGAGATAAGAAGTTCTTATCTCACTGGCGTAGATAAATATTTATATTTTCTTTACCTAGTTAATAGTTTTCCCATTCTTTGAAACCCATCCTGCAGCAACTTACAACGCCTACATATTTTGCCAACCCTGTAGATCATATAGAGGCATCCTAAAAAGTAAAACAAGGATATTTATTAAGTACAATTGTATGAGTGGTTTTTACATTTTTCTCTGCCTAATATAATAATATAATTAATAAAAGGAAAAAAACAGCTTTTGAACTTGAAGCGTTTTTATTAATAGCGAATTACATGTATAAACAAACATAAACAATTACATGTATAAACAAACATAAATAAAAATATACATCCAGACAGCAGCTCTTTTGCCGCATATAAAAATAAAACAAAATAATAAAATAACCAACGAAAAAACTTATGTTACGTTTTAATTATTAACGTAATATCACAAAGTATGAACGAAAAAGATTTATTCTTAGTTTAAATCAACAATGTAGAAGAGAAAAAGTAGGACCCAGTGTTAAAAAAAATATGTGACGAAAATCGTCTAAAAGGTAGGTATACAGGGCGAACGAACAGGTATCAGACTATAAGTATACACTTAGATCACTCATTTTAAATACTTTTTATAAACAGGTCTCGTCCTTTTTCACTTTTACGTCGTTGGTTTTATTACTTTCTAGTGAAATAATAAAACAAAATCACCTACTAAATATGGCTAAGTCATATAAAAAAGAACTATTATACCTATTAACTAAGAAAGTAACACGTTTAAAAAACTAATTTAATTCTTATATTATAACAGGAACAAACGTTAATATTATATTTTAATTTCTTATAGGAACATATTATTACAAGTCTTTATTTCTCTAATACCTTTATTTAAATTAAAACGGCAAATTCCGTCCTAATTTAATAACTTCAAATATAAGATCAAAAGTTTCTGAATGCAAAACTAGAAACGAATTAAGACATATTCAGTTCAAGGGTCGTCAATGCAGAGGCCGGAGGAATCAAAACGTTAAAAAAATTAAAAGGAAACTAATAACATGTTTTGTTTTGTCCAAATAGTAAGCACTTAGTTTTTTGGATAAAATAAGCTGATGTATGTGTGTCGAATACTTTAGAAAATGCTCACCCTGTACATAGATTTGAAATATACAAAGCAGATTTAACCGTATGAAGCACAGTAGGAATTTCAGAAAAAAGAGATGAAATCTCAGTTAACCCAACAGAATATGCATAAAGATGTTCGTTATAATCTATGCTCTTTAGCAATAAGCAATAAAAATATATATTTTTCGAATTGTCTTTATCAATAAAAATTTCTTTAATTTGACAAAAATTCGGAATATCGTGATATACACTGTCCAAAAGAATACTGTTAGTTTCATATTTCACACCATTTATTTCGTAAAA